GTTTAAGACTATACAGTGATATAATGGATTGTTATGTAGCCCAATATGAGGCAGACATATATTGACTTAAAATTATGATACATTGTTTAAAAACCAAGTTCAAAACTATGTGAATAACGATAATTGTAAAAATTAACAAGCAAATGCTTATATATTTATTTAAGTAGATAAAGTTCTGAAAGATATACACTAAGATTGACAATGATTAATCTGGCAGTTAAAAATTTTGGAGAGGCTGACAACTTTCAAGACAGAAGGGAGGCAGAATAAAAAATGGCAAGTAGGCCAGGCGCGGTGGCTCAGGCCCGTAATCCTAGCACTCTGGGAGGCCGAGGCGGGCGGACTGTTTGAGCTCAGGATTTCGAGACCAGCCTGAGCAAGAGCGAGACCCCCGTCTCTCCTAAAACTAGAAATAAATTAATCGGACGACTAAAAATACATGGAAAAAATTAGCTGGGCACGGTGGCGCATGCCTGTAGTCCCAGCTACCTGGGGGCTGAGGCAGAAGGATTGCTTGAGCCCAGGAGTTTGAGGTTGCTGTGAGCTAGGCTGATGCCACGGCACTCTAGCCCAGGCAAGAGAGTAAGACTCTGTCTCAAAAAAAAAATAAAATATTACATAAAAGACATAAAAGTTATTTTAGTAAGGAATGTATGGGGGCTCTTGGCAATACAGCAGAGAAGATAGCCTGAAAAACTCTCCTGTGACAAACTCTAAAAACGCCAGGCTGAAGATAATGTTTTGAAATGCACGGTGGAGACCACAATGAAAAAAAGCAATTCCAGAGAGGTAAACAAGCAACTCCTGATTTCTAGTAAAATCTTTTAGCAGAATAAAAGTAAAATGACTAGGAAAAGGCATAGAGGGTATAAATAACAGAATATTGGTGTAGTTACATTAATAATTACTCATGATAAAGATTATTATATAATAATAAATGGTTAAAGTCATCTAAAAAAGATTTAAACACTTATTTACCTAATATTCAAAATACAAAAAGCTGGCCCAGTATTACAAGGAACTGACACATCCACCGTTAGAGTAGGTTACCATACTTTTCTTAATGACTTATTAAACAGACCAGGAAAAATAACTATTAAGGAGACAGAAAGATTAAAACCTTGCAATGGCCTGGTATGGTAGCTAGCACCTGTAATAACAGCACTTTGGGGAGCTGAGGTGGGAGGATTGCTTGAGGCCAGGAGTTAGAGAGCAGCCTGGGAAACACTGAACAGATCCCATCACTACTTAAAAAAAGAAAAAGAAAAAGAAAAAAGAACCACGCAATGAGCAAACTTAATCTTTTGGAGAAATATATTTGACACTTCACCTAATAAATGGAGTATACACTGACTATTTACTAGTGGGTAAATCAAGTCTTACCAAGTTTTAAAGGACAGGTACCACATGGATCACATTATGTGATCACAATACAATTAAGTTAGAAAACAATAAGATGATAATTTTTATATCCTGTATTTATAAATTAAACTTCTAAATAATAGAGAAAAGAAAAAATCATAATGAGAATTAAAATATTTAGAACAGAATGATAATTAAATCTGTGGGATGCTGAAGTAATATGTAAAACATTTTGATTATTTTTATGTAAGTAAAGAAAAAGACTAAAAATGAGATAATCATCCAACTTGAGTTAAAAAGTACAGCAGAATAAACTCACATAAAGTAGAAAGAAGAAAAGAATGAAGACAGTAATTATGCCTATACAAAAGGGTTTTCCAGCTCTTTTATACATTTATGATACTAAGACTGAATAATCAATGGTAACAGCTCAGTATCATAAGCCTTTATCTACCTCAAGTCTATCACTGTATAGTGCATTACGGTTAATTTGCAAGCACAACTGCTAAGCCATAGTTATGATGCTATGTCCATAAAACGGCTCATAAAATTGAAAAGCTACCAGTGTAAAATTGTTAAAGAAGCAGAAAAGATAATCTTAATAATAAAGAAGAGGTGGTAGAGGCTAGAGTCAGGTTAGAAGGTTTAATAAATGATGACAATGATGGTTGATTTCTTAAAAAAATCAATCACTACCACTATTTATTAGTAATTTACCACCTGCCAGCAACTGTAACAATTCTTGTGCCATTTAACCCTCAAAATATTGCAAAGTGGGCCTTATTAATCCCATTTTACAAATGAGAAAACTCAGGTTCACAGAGGATAATTAAACTGTTTTTGATCATATTTTAGAAAGTGGTACAGTTTAAGTTTAAATTCAAGTCTATTTGAGTCCAAATACTGTGGTCTTAACATCTTTGCTACACTCTGGCTGTTCCAATAACCTTATTTGTAAGGGTACAAATTAACAAACAATATCACTAACAAATTAACAGTTCAAAAACAGAGCAACACTTCACTTATCTTGTAGAGGATGAGTCTGGGGAGGGATTAGTATTCTGATGGTTGAAATATTAATACTTTTCCAGCCATTTAAACTATCATTATGCAGTCACAACATCTGAGTGTTAGACCACACGACGTAGCCTAATCTATTAGTTCAAATTTCCCAAACAGCCTCTATCCATGGTTCATGCATATATTGATTAATCACTCCGCTGGATTAGAGATGTAGGTATTTGGAGAAATTAGGTGATTATGTACTGACCGCAGGACATACCCAGGAACTTTGTTTTCTTGAGTAAGTCCCTGTTTTCTTGTCAGCTTGTTTTCTTGTCATTTGCTTCTTTCTAATAAAAGTGGAGTCTAAATTATGCTGCTACATGATCTCCTGGGCAATGAAACATGGCTGCCTTTTCCAAAATTATCAGTTCAAAAATAAAAGCAGCTTTCTCCTAAGGTGGTTTCTTCCTTTCAATAAAAACTATCACCTTCACTGTCTTAACAGTGTTCTCTGACTTTATAGCAAAACTTAAGTCATTCTCTATTTACAGGACCAGTAATTATTTTTAACAGTTCCTGAATCTGAACACGAGCTATCTCACAAATGGCATTTTGAGTGATTATTTGTTTTTATTTCTGCACTTAACAATGTGCTAGTTTTCTAGGACTAGATAATTGAGGTTTTACTCTCTTTAAGAGAAATAACATTTAGAAATTAAATTATTGAGTGTTTGTCTACCATATGGCTAAAAGAGAGGAACTGAGAACCTAGCAAATCAGAGAAACATGCTAGGGATGAATCAAAGGAGGATAATGGAATCAAAAAAAGGAAAAATCAGCAACCTTTCAAAGGTGTTTTTTTCCAAGGTTCCAACATCTGCTTTTCTGATATAAACAATAATGACCAAGTGCCAACTCTTTAAAGTCACTAAGGAGAAGCTATACGCAACTGAAAAAAATTTACATGCTGGCTGTCTACCCAGTACCAGAACTCTTAACCCGTTAATTCAACAGTTATCACATTTAGCTTCTTTAAATTTCTTTTTTTTTTTTTTTTTACAGTGAAGCTTATTGAAACTACAATTTTAATCTCATAAAAAATTTGATTCAGTGTTGATTCTACATTAAACTAGCTAAACACTTTTGCTAAGCCAGATTATTTCAACAAGTACTTCCCAATTCATTACTTACAACGAGGTAAAATGACTAATTTCTAAAAATGTAATTATTGACCAATAAAAGTTGTATAAAATAAAGTTACAGCCCGAGAAATACAACAATTACAGCAATATGTGTATTGCTATTTTTTAAATATTTTTAGAGTATTGCTCTGTTGCCCAAACCAGAGTATAGTGACATGATCATAGCTCAACTGCAGCCTCAAACTCCTGGGCTCAAGCAATCCCCTTACATTGGCCTCCTAAAGTGCTGGGATTACAGGCTTGAGCCACCACCCCCAGCCTGTATTGCTATAATATAAATGGCAAATATACTTATTAGAGAACATTAAACTACTACGTTAAGACATGAAATCTGATACTTTCTTAAATCATTTAAACATATCATTTGGCTGGCCATGGTGGCTCATGCCTATAACCCCATCACTTTGGGAGGCCAAGGCAGGAGGATTGCATGAGGCCAGGAGTTGGCAACAAGCCTGGGAAACATAGTTAAGACTCTGCCTCTATCCAAAAAAAAAAAAAAATTAGCTGGGCATGGTTGCATATGCCTGTAAGCCTAGCCGTACTAGGGAGGCAGAGGCAGGTGGGTCGCTTCAGCCCAGGAGTTTGAGATTACAATGAGCTATGATTGCACCACTGCACTCCAGCTGGACAAGAGTGAGACCCTGTCTCTTAAAAAAAAAAAAAAGAGAAAACCACATGCTTGAAGATTTTCTTTCTATGAGAATGTAATGGCAAATGCAGTAACAAAATTCAAATGTTAAGAACTGCAATACTCAAGAGACCAATATTAACAAAAATAGCAGAGCACCATCACTGAATATAAACTCTCAAAGAATACCATTTGTTAACTCTATTAATTCTGACTCCTTTTCAGCAAATTCAGCCAAATGTCCATGCAGAAGACTTGTCAATGCTGTCAATTAGCAGCAGATATAATTGTAAATCAGTTTGGAGGCCCCCCTCTTACTCAAGGTTATTTCTTCTCTTATTCTAGATAAAAAGGGGTATATGTTTTTCTTAACACTGAAAGACCAATAAATAAGCAAAAGAATATTAAGTAACACAATGAAAGGAAAATACTATACAGACCCTCAGTATCCTCACAGGGATTGGTTCTAGGACCTCTGCAGATCCCCAAATCCTCAAATACCAAAGTCACGACATCAGCCCTATGGAATCCATGGAAATGGTAAGTTGGCCCTCCATATACATGGGCATGGGTTCCAAATCCCACAAATACTGTATTTTCAATCTGAGTTTGGTTGCAGATGTGGAACCCACCAATACAGACAGCGGACTGAATTTACTGAAAAAAATCTAAGTATTAAGCAGACCTCACAGTTCAAACCAGTACTGTTCAAAAGTCAACCACATATTGCTACTATTTCATCAATTCCATTTTATTAACATATATGATCAAGAGTGTATGCTTTCAAAAGACGTACTTACCTATTAAAAAGCAAAACATTGAGGTGAAGGATAACATCACTACTACTGGACACTGTTGGCTTCACTGTTTGAATATATCTGAGGGCTTGTCTGTGCTCGCCCTGACTCATGAAGGCCTGAATAATCTTTGAATGTTGCCATGACACAGGTTTTGCAGTAGCTGGATGACACAGAAGACCCAAACCACTCTGCAAAAATGACATGAAAAGCGCTAAATATAAATATAATCCTTTGCATTTGGACAAAGTAGCTACCTTTTAAAAAGACAGCCGAAGTCTAGGCACAGTGGCTCATGCCTCTAACTCCAGCACTTTGGGAGGCCAAAGCAGGAGGATTGCTTGAGGCTAGGAGTTGGAGAACAGCCTGGGCAACACAGTAAGACCCCTGCCTGTATAAAAAATAAGAAAAATGGCTGGGCGCGGTGGCTCACGCCTGTAATCCTAGCACTCTGGGAGGCC